CTGGTTTAATTAAGGTGAATTAATTATTACAGGTACATTACATCATCATTACGAGAATAATTAATTCCACATGGGGTCCTGTCTCTTAAATGCCAATTCGATCAATTATAATCACATTCAATTTTCTCAATCATTGTACGCGCACCTTTAATTTATGACTAGAACGTGACACACGAAAGTACCATAATGCAGTTTCAGAGAAAAACCAAATCCATGTTCATATAATACAAATAATAATTCGTAAAACAATCAAGCCATGTGATTCACAATCTATTATATTCACTTGCACGCTTTCTTAATTAATTCAATCACCAAATTATCACTTTGAGGATCGATCGCTGCCAGAATTCATATCAAGGAGACTCAAGAAAATATTTAATAATTAATTCACCTTAATTTAACCAGTAATAATATTCCTTCATTTCAAAATATTATAAGAGGCGTTTGGTTGTTAAAAAAAATGATCACAATTTCACTCGCAACAATTCTATTAGGATTTCCTCATCCATCGCTTAGCCTAGGTGACCCTCAACTAGCCATTGTCATTGTTGCCACACGGGCATCGTTTTAATCCAAGCCAACAAAAAAAAAAAAGACAATAACAACAAGAAAAGAGAGGTGTGGAGTGGATGTCACATGGACATGCCACCTAGATATAGTTAGGTCAACTAACGGTCAAACATTTAGTTTTATTAAAATTAAGTGACATTGCTATGTTTTTGAAAGGTTAAGGGAACTTTACACTTTTCATGATTTAAGAATATTAATTAATTGTCCCTCATGTGATACTTCGAAGTGATTTTGTATATTAACCCTTTATTTAAAAAATTAATAAATTATTTAATTACTTGTAATTTAACTTAATCTCTAAAAATGTTGATATCATTAATTAATATAAAATCAATGTTGAATGTAAATCCTACAATAAGCGATCATATTCTTATGTCATGAAAATATAACGAATTTCTTACTCTCTCTTTGCTAAAAAAAAAAAAAAATTGTGGAATTGACAAAGCCCAGCATGACATTATAGGACTGAAGTAGAGGCCTTAAGACCTTGACCCAAATCCTAGCCCAAAGAGTTATTGGAGGCTGAAATGCAAATGAAAAACCTTATATAAGCCCCAACATAAATAACTAACACCCTAACGTTACTGGGCAACCATGACATGAGTATGGACTTTTTTGAAACAGAACAATTAAAGACCTTGGCCCAAAATTTATATGGGCCTACTTTTAAAAGGCCAATGATGCTTCCATTTTGCGACAAATAAAATTGGCCGTAGTGCATGAGCCCTGTTCGTAAGGATAAAACCAGAATCTAACAGGCCATTGTGCTAAAATTCACATTGAAGAGGCCTACTAAAACTTGACTCCAATATCAAGAAATTAAAAACAAACATAGCCCAAAGGGACAATCCGGAGACAACAGAACTTATAAAAAAAAACAAAGTCATGTCACCATGATTTTGTTGAATCGCCCAATTTTCGAAATTGGCCCAATAAATGAATTGGTCAATTATAGTAGGCCCAGTCAAACAGCCCTATTTTGAAATTAGAGAAGAGGCCCAGAAAGACATTGACCCAAGTTACAGAAAGAAAAAACATTGCTAGCCCAAAGAGCCATTAACGAAGGCGAAAATGGGAATAAATAAACTTATAGGGCCAGAACATTACTGATCAACCCATATTAGGCTAAATGACAATATAGGTTTTTTGGAATAGCCCAACTATTAGCATCAGCCTATTATTGGCCTCTAGTCACATTTCACAATAGGCCCGACAAACTTCCAAACGTGTAATGGTACTAAACGGCATGTCGTTTATTTTAGGGTCGGAACGTAATGTTGGTAGAGGATAGACTAAACGTCGTCAACTTTTTGCCCAAGACATCAGGTGACCCGACCCGAATGACAGCATGACCAGACGAGGAATGAGGAATCCACTGTTTTGTCTTGACTTAGCCTCAAGATATATGTGGAAACCGAGAGGATGAATGTGTACATATTAATTAACTGAAATCATGCATAATCGTAAGGTGTTGGGTGAATATCCAGGAATATCAACTGATAGTTTTTCAATTTGATTAGTTCCGCGGCAAAGACTTCGACTTCTGGTGGATATGTATCTGTATCAACCCAATATACTTTGAGAAGAACAGATTGCAAATGAGTTAAGTCACTGCTAATCACTCAGAATATATAAGGTGGAAGCAACATGGGTTGGAGTTTCTTCATTCATACTTGGCAAAGAAACACTTCTTATACAAATGTTTAGATTCTTAATTAGTCTTGCCTATCTTGTTCATGTTCCTATGCTGCAAGCAAAATGTCTGACACGCATTACGTACATATCCGATTTCCATATGCTTGAGAAAGAGAAAATAATGCTAACAAGGATTTATTACAAGGATTGTTTAGAACATGAAATTTACAACACAAATATGAACAGATTCAGGCATTGACGAGGTTCGAATGGTGTGTGCTCATGCTCATGTGCTGACTGCTATGAAGAATAACATGTCCATTGTAGTCTAAATCTTCTAGTCTAGAAAGAGATAAGTCCGTCGCTAGAACTTTCAGAACAATCCAAAGATTACAATAGTTTCTTGTTAGACCTATTCATAGGGGTTTTAATAGGTAGGTCAATAATTTGTCAAGATCCACGTTAACTGTATTGCTAAATAAAATAATATATGATCATTTAAGAAAAAAGTAATTGACAATCTTTTATTGAAAACATAGCATGTGAATATTTTAATATAAAAAAATTGCCATTTGAAGAATCATAATGTTATTTTACTCTGTTGAAACAACTAAATTTAACACATCTTTATTGAGTCATCATCATACAGTAGCATTCTAAGCAATCAAGTCATGCATTTATTTCCTTAGGACCATTCTGAACAAACAAGCCAACTCTATCACACACAGGTTATTTAGACACTAATAATGTCTCAATAAATGAAGTTGGATCATATTTAATGCAAATAGAAGTTAGGTTTAACAAAAGAGACTAATCTCTTATAACATAAAGAATTAAGATTTGATTTACCACTAGGACAAGTGTCCACATTTAATACTCAACAGTGTCTAAAACCATAGAAGAATACCTATAGGTGACAAAGAAAAAATCAATCTTCAGTGTGTAACCTCCATAGTTTTGGCTGAATTCTAAATTATTTGCCACATATTACCAATTTGATCAATCATTCCTCCTACCTACAACACCAAATATGCGGGAATGATTTCCCTCCTCATCCAAGAGATAAGATCTGAACCGTCTAGATTTAAAATATTATTTTATTAAAATAAAAAATTATACCAATTATAAAATAATTTTAATAAAATTTTTATTTGATCTAAATTTAATTTAGAGGATCTAGTTTAATATTAAAATTTTTATAATTGATGTATATTGATTATTGACATGAACTTTACACAGTTCAACAGTTCAAATTTAATATCTGGGCTGTACATAGTACATTTGAAAAATTTAAAATATTCAATTATAAAAATTTTAATATTAAATTAGAACCTCTAAATTAAATCTAGATTAGATTAAAAATAAAAAAAATTATTTAAATTATTTTATAATTTTTATAATTTTTTATTTTAATAAATTAATATAAAATTATATTTTAAATTTGGACCATCCAGATTTTAATCCAAGAGATGAGCAGAGAAACCATTCCCCCAAATATGCAAGCATTACTCGTTTTGTGATGTTTAGTGTCGAGTATACAAATAACTTAAGAAACCACTTTTTTTTTTTAAACTTCCATTATAGAGCTTAACTTCTGTCATTTAGAATATGATTGGTTCACGACAAGATTTAAAAAGGAAGCAAACTGAAAATTTAGGGCAAATCCCCTATTCGATTCACTAGAAGCATTTAAGGAAAATAAAACTGGAAAAGGAAATGAAAATGGAATTGGAATAGAAAATGGAATTGAATTGGGCATAAAAGTAATGTAACAAGAATAAATGCTCATCAACCAACAGTGTAATCATGTAACAAGAATCAATAGAACTAGATCTGCCAAAAGGAAAAAACCCTAAACACATCAAACAACGAAGTCAACGTCGAAAAAAACAGATCCATTCTTCTTCTTCAAATCCAAGATCCATGGAACCCAAACCCACATGGCCACAACAATATTCATAGATTTGTAAGGTGTTGAGTCCCAACCCCTATTTCCATCCAACCAAACAGGGTTTAAATATCATGCTTGGCATGGGAAGGAAAGGAAGAAAGACCTTCGAATTAAATTCCTCTTGTCATAAAAAGCAAGCACAGCCTTAGTTGTAGGGAAGTATAACATGACCTTATTTCATGGACCTATTCCTGCTCATGCGTTGTATGACCATGTATTTTAACCACAAGCATGACTCGTCTAAATGCATCTCCAAATTTTTAATCTTCATATAGGTTTCAGTTTTCCAAAGATAACGTTATGAGTTGCAAGAAACTTAAGCTATTAAATTATTATTGTTTTCTCCTTTGGGTAAGGGGGACCAAAATAGAGGATTTCTCCCTAAAATATTGTTTGGAACACCGTTAAAGCAGCGCAAGTTATAAGTCATTATCTGCCTCATAAATAATAATCCCTCGCCTTAAGTTGAGACAAGGAAAATGCAACATCTCAATTTAAATTTTATTAGTTAATTTAGATTAATAAAAATTTAAAAAAATATTTAGAGATAAGTAAACTAGTAGAAGATAATTATTAAATTTAACTTAAAATATAATTTTAAGTTAAGATTTTAAAAAAAAATATTATTATTATTATAATTAAAAAGAAGAAAGAGAAATATAATAAAGAGAGAGATTGAGAAATGAAATATAAATATATGTGTGTGTACACATATATATGTATAAGAATTAAAAAAAATAAAAAAAAGGGGGCGGACGTTTCCGCGTGCACAAGTGTAATGTACATATACATATACATATATATATATATATATATATAAAAATCAAAGAAAGGAAAGGAAAGCAAAAGGGAGTGGGACCCACACTTTTTTTAAAACCACGCACATGCCCTTCTCTTCTCATATTCCCTTCGTTTCCTTTCTCTTTCATGAGCGAACAAAGGAAATGTTTGTGAGCACATTCACCGGCACAGGAGAGCTGAATTTTAAAGATGAGACTTCATAATCAAATATTTAAAATGAGATTTTAAACTTTTTCAAATTAAATAAATGTTCTAAAAAATTTTTTTATTCATCTAGCTCCTTTCATTTCTGATTTTGTAATGGTAAAAAATTTAGAGTTTGAAAGAGGGATAAATTTGTGTTGAATAAATATAGTTGTTGAGGTTGTTAGTAGTATAATAAATGTTCTAGAGTATAAATTTATTGGTGAACTTTAAATTTGAAGCTTATAAATCAAATCCTACACTACATTTTTATTAAATTTAAAAACATATGTTGATTTATTAAGGTTTAAATGATTATTTGGGATGAGAAATGAATTATTATGACTATAGGATGATGATTCTAAGCTTGAGACTTAATTTCTAATTTTTGGGTATTTTATGTGCAAATTTATGAAATAAAAAGAAAAATTTTGATAATAGAAATTAGTTTAGAAGTTGATTTTAGCTTATTAATATTAATTGATGACTAAAAGAGGATTTAAAAATTTTAATTTTATTTAATAGTACTAACTCTAGATTTGTATTAAGATTGAGATTAAAAATTATGTTATATTCTCTAATTCTATTATTAGAGTTATTTTATTAGTTTCAATAATTGAAACTAATATTTATAAATAATATGTTATTTGTAGATTGTGTTATTGGTAAAGATTGTGGTGGGAGAGAAATTATAAGGAATAATTTATTGAAAAAGTCACTAGGTAACCATACTTTTAATTTGTGATTAGTATTACTTCATATTAATTGGGTGATTATTAAGAAAATTATGAATTGTTGTTGAGAAATTATTTTGTTATGTTTATGAAAAAATTGTGAAATTGTGAATATGCATTTTGAAGTATTTTTGCTAAGTGGGATGTCATGTAATATTGTTAAAAATAAAAAAATTATGAAGATTGTAATATTATATAATTCTATAATATTGATATGAATTTTGTTTGATTATTATGAGAGGTGTTGGGAGACTTACTACTACTGTTGTATTCATGTGCCATGTGGTACGCTCCTATTGGAGCCCAGTAGATGGCTTATAAGGGCTTAGACTAATCTATCTTTGGCTGGATAATTTAACACCAAATGAGGGTTACGACTCGAAATTAATAGAGGGAAATAATGATGATTGTTTTTTATACATTATAATATTTCTTGTATTTTATTGGAATTATATAACTATTGTTTGCCTACTTAGCAAGCACACATTTAACTATTTGTATACACTATTATAAATTGACATTGGTTACTGAAACTTTTGAGTCTCATTATGTGGTTAATAATTTTTAGGAGAACAGTCACGAGTGACGCGTGGAGGAATCTCTGAGACTTAGTGGCATAGATTCACTATCTCTTTTAGGTATTTGATTTATAATTTTTAATGTATTATATTGTCAATACTAAGGCTTTTTGTTTATTGACAATTATATAAATATAATAATGTAATCATACCCTTCAAATTATTTTTACTTTTGATATACTTTGGATGACTATAATTATGATATCTGATTTGTTTTGAATTATTTGAAATGGCATGATTATAAGGCTAAATAATTGGTTTGTTTTGAAAATTGATTAAGTTATTTATTTTAATTGTTGGTCTATGGTTTGCACTTGTTAAGAATATAAGGATTGAAAAATGTGATTTTAGTCTAATGGCACATGAGAGGTAAAAATTTATTTGAGATGTTGTATTATGCAAGCTTAAACCAATTATTAAATGTTTTTATATTGAATTTATTGATATAAAATGTGTTGGGTGGCTATAACCAAATTATGGTTATAGATGTGTATTAATTGTATGAAATTGATTTGTATATTTTGAAAAGAAAATTTTTTGGGCCTTTCAGATTTATTTTATTTTTAATTTCTTGTGATCCCAATTTGTAGAAATGACAATTTAAGGAGTTAAATTCTATTTACCATAATAGTACTTATTTCTCTAGTTTAATCTTTTCTACTGTGGTAGTTATTTTAAAAGGTAAAATATTTTATAAGATTATGTTTTATCATTTCCTATCATGATAGTGTTTTAAATTATAAAATTATTTTAAAAAAAATAAGATACGTTGACTTCTGTTTATTATTGTAGACACTTCTACCATGGTTGAGTTAAATTGTTTTAAAAGATAAGTTGACTTCTGTTTACCATGGTAGACACTTTTCTACTATGGTTGAATTAAATTGTTTTGAAAAGAAAATTAGGGTATTACAGAAAATCAAACATGAATCCATAAATAGGCCAATAAAAGTCTTCAAAATACTATTTTCTAAACAATTAGACCCCTTGAGTAAGCAATCTTACAACCTCAAAGCAGCATTTTATTGCATCAATACGGATGATAATTCTTTAGGTGCAAATACCTTGCAAGTCATCAAATTGAATTCCTCTTAGGCTCTGCCTCATCAATTGCTCTCTTACTTGACATAACGTACTGACTGTTAAGAGAGAAAGAGAAGGGAGCAAAGAGACTGATTTCATTCACACCACGTAATGAGCAAGTAGGATAAATGACATACCCTAAACTTAAGTACGTGCCCCAAAAGCTATGGTCCTACATTGGCAATAACTACCCTAGAATATAGCAACATAAAAAGATAATAATGACATATCAACATCAAGACAATAAAGCCCTTAAATAGCAGTAACGTGTAACATTGACTTTCTCACCTGATTTAACACAAATCAACAAGAATCAAAGATGATTTAGCTATAGTGCTATAAACAAATCATTTATGAAACCAAAGGTTATTGGCAAGTTATTTGAAAAGCTAAATAAATGTAGGGATTTGAAGTATATAGTAATACCTTAAGGGTGCGCTCTGTGTTAGGAAAGCATAGATTTTGTGCATGAAGCATCCGATGTTGAATCATCAACATGTTTTTTTCCTTCAACAACACGAACCACAATTTGTGAAGGTCATCCTAAGACTTGAGATGCAGCTTAGAGGCCTTCCAGCTCCGACCTTGTGATAATAAATAATCAAAAGAGCTTGAATTTAGAAGAAAAGTTTTTTGGTAATAGCTAGAACCACTTTAATAAGTAAGAGAGTAGTGATGTCTAATGTCTGAGAAAAGTGAACTTCACTTAAAATAATTTTGAACTTATCATTCCAAAAAAAGGGTGGGATACATTATAGTTTATCCTTGTGGATTGATCCAAAATTCGTTATCCCTCTTGGGATTAAATTGTTAAATACAACAGTGATTTGTTCAACAATCATTTATCCAACCTACATTATTTTGCAATCACATGAGTATCATTTCATTGTCAAATGTATATTTCAGAATGTTTCAAAAATCTCCATAATTTCCTGAAGCTATTGCCAATATTAAGCAATATTTTAAACCTTGAAATGTCAACTTAACCTACTATTAAAAGACGATGAATTAAGATTTATAATGACACTTTCAATACATTTTCAATAATTAAATTGTTCATTATAATAATCTTCACATAATTATTCTGATTAAAATTAAGACCAGAAATACCACAGTTCAATTGAAGATTATTATGATCAAAATTAAGACCTGAAATACCACAAATTCAATCAAATGGTAATGAAATAAATCATGGGAGAATTAGATAAGACCCTTTAAACTATGAGGGTGGCCAAAAGGCTAATATCTAACAACCCCGCAAAAAAAAGAGGCTTGATGCGCTAGTTGATACCCATCCAAAAACATTGATGTGATATTAAAGACAATAAAGAGGATACATCTCACATCACATGAAGCCATGCATAAATCCAATTAGGGCATATACTCATACATATACCTAGGTTGTACAACTAACGTGGAGCATGTTTTTATCCCAGTCCACAGTTGCATCTATATCTATAAATTATAGAGAAAAATAAAGTTGAACTTATTTTAACGTCCCATGGAAGATTGTTCAAACCCCTTAAATATTTCCAACATTCCATTCATGCTATGTTAGGCACATGGTAAAAGTGAGAGGAATGAGAATTGGAACATGAGTGTGCAAAAAACAAGATTACTTTCCGAATACAATATCTATTATACCTTATTATCATTACTCAACAATTTTTGTTCCCTTTTTTAGTAAAGGTACGAGAGTCATTTCTACTCACATTAGCATTCCCTTTTCCTTTCCAAAACTAACATTCATTATACCAAAAATAGCTTTAACCCCATTCTCTTCCATTCATACGTCTTATATCCATAAACAAAATCAAACAAGAAAAGACTAGCAGGAAAAACTAAAGCAATGAATAGGTGTATACCATAAACAACAAGCTTGTCATCATTTGCCTGAAAGAACTCCTGAATAGGGTTATATCTTTCCCTGGTAGCATTGACAGCTGCAGCAAAAGAGGCAGAAGTTTCTAACCTAGCAGTAGTTAATAGTATCCTTCCTAATGCTCTTAATAAAAACATGACCATGACCAGTCAAATTGCTGCATAGTAAAACATTTACAAAATATGAAACTAGAAGAAATGGCACTGCGTATATTGTACATCTAGAAAACCATCCTTTTATTTGTAGCCAATGAAGAGTCCACAACTATTAGGTAATAAAGTCATAAGCTTTGATCAATGACTACAAAGAATGACTACTCTTTACAAACATATGCTACAGGATCAAACTAGTCAGATGTTAGGAAAAACACAAATCAATATGAACAGATAGCAATGGTAAAGACGCAATGCTATATAGGTTTTCTCTTATAGATACTTAAGCCCCATAATGATAGCATAATGTAAACAATTAGGCAACATCGACAAAGAACAGGGCCCTTGTCATCAAACAAAGGGATATAATGCATATTCTTTCTCTCCTCAAACTCGTACTATAACCTATTTTTTTCTTATTAGACATAAGAGTCATATAATACCGTACAAAAGCACACGAGTTGAACTATAGCACAATTCCATTTCCAAGTATCAATAAACCAATATTGAAGTATTGCATCAACATTTGGCAAACCAACATAAATCTATGCATTGCCAATCTCATCTAGTACAATTAAACCAAAAACATACACATAATTAGATAATAGATTTGCAAGAGCATAACATTGTTCAGTTCATTTCATAATCTTAAAAAAATGCATACATAACCAAATCAAAACGTACAACTGCAACAATAAGCATGAATCAATAAAATATGCTAATTCTTTTACAATGGCAAACCTAATTTAACATTAATAAATATGAATTAGTAGCAGAAAGAACACTATCATGATAAAACAGCATCATAGATAGACCAACAACCTATCTCCTCAGACATGATAGAACACTGGCACCATAAAAATATGAACTTTGTTGTGAGTTGAAATACTATTTGCACTCTGCCCCCTTTTGATAGTGCAGCTGGATGAGATTACACAACCATACCAGATTCAACGCCAAATTTAAAAAAAAAAAAACAAAGCAAGAACAATCACGCAAGGAACAAATTTAAATCTAGAATCGAAGCCAAATTGAATCAATCTCACTGGGTTTTGGGAAATCCCTAGTGTTTGGATCTTCTTCACTACCAGCACGAGAATAACCACACAAGGTTGACAACAGGTGGCATACAACGGAGTGTGGAATGCCAGTTCATCAACGGAGAAAAATTGAGCCACTGCTTCTTATTACTAGATAGTGTTCAGTGAGGGGTTATAATTAATTTTAAGGAGAATTAGTAGAGGTCCAAAAGTAAATACTCAAATAACAAAATTAATTATCCCAAATAATGAAATTAATTTTATGAAATGTTTTTGCCAGAATTCATTTTATTAATTTATATTCTTTGTCTGCATTTATAATTTTTTTATAAAATTACATATACTAATAAAACTCATTAATTTTTCTATAAACTTTTAAAATTATCATTCATTAATAAAAATGAGAGAAAGATATTAATTTAAGGGATGAAATAATGAAGGATTATATTTAAATAATTATCATTAATAAAATTTTATTTTTAATTACCTCCAAAAATATATTATAAAATAATAGATATTAGTATATTATAAAGGGTTAAAAGACAAAAATGGTTCAGAACTTTTTCTCTAGGAATGTTTGTCATTCTAAACATTTTTTGAAAGCATTTTTGCTCTAGAAGTTTCAAAAACAAAGCATTTTCACCCTCACTGTTACAAATGACAAACGTTGACCGTTAAATTAAAGTTTGACTAAGAATATTTTTACATTTTTCCCTCCTTCATTTCGTTCTAATCAACAAACGTGGGCTAAGTGTTTTCAGTTGGGTTGGAATATCGGTTAGCCAGTTGAGTTAGTTGTTAGAATTTCTCCCACATCTGTAAAGCTCTAGTCTATATAAAGAGTCATTCACTTCATACATGTGTAGAGAGTTTTTGGAATGTTAGTCTCATTGTCGATCACCTTATAAATTATAATCACCTTGTAAGTTTGGGGGTGGTTCATCATCCGTCAAGAAAGTATCGGAACTTGGATGGGTTGATGAAATTGATTAGTGTTACACTACAAAATAGTTTATTGTGATTGTTATATATTGCTCTTTCATAGTTAATGAATATTATTTTTCCATGTCAATTATTTCTTCACTTGTTAACAGGTTGAAGTAGGAGTAACAAAGATCACAGTAACACATACCCTCTGCACCCAAAAAAATTAAAAAAGAAAAACAGAGAGATCACACATATCCAAGTTTCCTTGACATTTGAAAGAATTATTTTATTTTTCTAGGGCCAAATAATATTTCGATTATAGAACGATCATTTCAATAAACAATGTTGTCTGAGCATAAAGTAAATTACTTAATACTCTTTCATGATCAGCAACACAAATATAAAAGGACATATATAATTGGCCAAAAACCCACAAAGACAAATTGGAAATTCAGTTACATGCCTGCAATATATATATACATATATATGTGTGTGTGTGTGTGTGTGTATTATATTCCTTGAATAATAATTACACGATGAAGCATAAATCGGTTACATAATTCACCAGATGAAAGTCTTTCATTATCTTCTTCAGTTCAGTAACAATAAAGAATATATATATATATATATATATATATCAGCAGCAGCAACAGACGCTTTCCACACAGCACTCGCAACTCTCATAGCAGCAAAAGCAGCAGAACAGTGCGAACAAACTAACATCAAACCAAATCAAACTTATTGCTCAGAGTTTTGAAACTTCGTACAAAAATAAACAGAGAGAAAGAATGATATATAAAGAAGCATGATATATATATATATATATATATGTATAGAGAGAGAGAGAGAGACAGAGAGAAGCTAAGTGTAGAGAGACCAAGCATAGAGACAGCCTTTCTCTTCACGACGCTTTTGAAAGTGATCAGCGTAGGACATTTCCTGCCTTTGCGGTGCTCCCTCCATTTTTCTTCACGGCTTAACAGGAATTATCAGAGACACATGATTTTTATAGGTAGAGACAAATAAATCATGAGAAAGTAGCAACCAAGGACCACTGAAAAAATTTATATCTATTAAAAATCAGTTATCAAAACTCAAATGAAAAACAAATTCAAATAGCCTGTTATTAATTTAGAATGAGTTATTATTAAAATTTAAATAGATATTGTTAACATCAATAAGTATCAATTCAAGTTTTGATAATAAATAATTCTTAATTGATATAAATTTCCTCCAACGACCCTGATTAATATTTTCATTAATGATAGTTACAAGATGAGTGGATACAAGTTGTCTTCACTGTGATGATGGCGATCGATGAAAGGCCTATATGTTTATTGCCTTCCCCACCAAGTGACAGTCCAGCTCAAGCACTCAATATGTGCCCAATTGTAACCTAACATGTACACACACACACACACTGCAACTACTAATGGGTCTGACTGGTGGGAACGTCTTATTCATTAATCTCTCAACCACACAATAAACCCAACTCTTCGCCAATTCATTTCGCTGGATTTGGTTTGGTTTGAAAGTGTACACAAATTGCTTTAACTTAACTAACGATATTATCGCTTACCTAAAGTCCTAAACCAAACCCAGCCTTTATCTTTCAAATATATATAAACAAACCATATAATCTAAGGTTGAGTTATATACAACTTATTTTTGAACTACGCAGTGATGTTTCGTTACTGAGTTTACATATGTAACTAGTATGGTGTATGAAATTTGGTTTAGCTTGATTTAAATATTTCCATATTATTTGAAGAGAAAGCCAAAGTGTTATGATTTGTTTGGTTTAATATATTTTGAGCATTTTTAATATTAATACGCAATAGTATTTCAATTTCAAAGCACAAAGTTCAACTTTTTGCCAATCGATCGCTATATACACTACAAAAAATTTTGCTTTTGTCGCCGCCAAAAGTTCAAAAGTCGCCGCTAAAAGTTTTTAGCGGTGACTTTCTGTCGCTAAAAATCGTCGCTATAACAACCGTCGCTAATAGTTTTTGTCGACGACAATATTTGTCGCCACCAAAAGTATACTTTTAGCAATGACAAATGTCTCCGCCAAAAGTCTTTTTAGCGACAATAAATGTCGCCGACAAAAAGACTTTTAGCGGCGACAATTTGTCGCCGCCAAAACTTTTTTTAAGAAATAATAATTTATTTTACGCCACATCACTCTGCCACGTGTGCATTAAGTGATGCCACGTCACCTACCATATATCCAATAGATTATGCCATGTCACAGTCCATGTGTTCAATAGATAATGCCACATCACCTAGCCATCTCATGCCATGTCACATGACACATGTGCACTTCCTCAAGCCACCTCATGTGCTACATCACCATCTCGCGCCACGTCACCTGCCACGTGTATACCCCATCAAGCTACCTCATGTGCCACCGCCACCAGCTCATGCCACATCACTTGTCACGTGTGTGCCTTCTCAAACAAACCTCACGTGCCATGTCACCACCATTCGCCATGTCACATATTTGTTGTGAAATATGACAAAGTCAAGATTTGAACCCTTGACCTCTCCCTCCTCCAAGCCTTAAACCTTCCTTCTTTGCCAGTTGAACTGAAATGTACATGCAATTATTATATGCGAAATTAAATATATATTATGTAATGGTATACACATATATCAAATAATATATGATTAAAAAGATATCCATATATTATAATTTATTTTTAATTATTAATATGAAAAAATGATTTATATGAATATTTAAATTATAATTTTAATAAAATATTATTTTTTACCAATCAATATTATTTTTTTTAGGAAAATGAACTTAAAATAAACAATTTTTAAATATTAAAATAATATTCTTATATACATTGTAATAAATTTTTAAATTATATTTTTATTTTTTAGATGAAAATTATTAAGTATATAATTTATTTATAAATATGTATTATATTATTTTATGTTAAGTATCTTTTACTTTTTTCTTCTCCATATTTTTCTAAAAAATTGATAAACTAAATGATTAAATTTTTATCCTCTCTCAAAATAGCTAAATATTTCCCCCTTTTTTAATAAAAATATATTTTATAGATAATTTTTCAATATCTTAAAAAATTATTTTAATAAAAAATTAATTTTAACCACATAAATTTTGTTAATAGTCATTTTGAATAATTTTGAAAATGAATACTAATAACTTTTGCAATATATGATAATTACAAGAATCTCTGTATGATCAATCTAGTTAACATCTAATCATCTTCAATCTTATAGAAAGGTGGATTTGAGTAGTTATTCATATTATTCTTAGTATAAAATGTTATTATAGCAATGAAAACCTAAATATACTAGGAGGAATTACATGAAATCAGTGTCCAAAAGTCATTAGAGCTCAGTAGAAGAAGTAAATACTATATATATATCAAGCTAAGCATAAAGTACATAATATATTAAGTAGTCTATAATATCATTAACATCTTATGATGTTTGTACAACTTTAACTTCCTAATGCCATTTATGTATTTGATTGTAAATAATAATTTATATATAACTTAAACTAATTATAATTGAAGTAATAACCCATTAAGATTTAAATTTATCATATTAAAATACTAGCTTAATAACATAATTCTTAAAAAAAATATGAGCTATATATGTCTAAAAAATAATTATGAATAATATAAAATTAAAAAAATTTAATAATTAAACTTAGCACACTTTAAATATTATTTTTTTATTTCACATTTCTATATATAATTTATTTCTAATTCTATACATAAAATAAGAAATTTAATTTCATAAATATATTTTAAATAATTTTATTTAATTATTTTTTAATTTTTAAATTATTTTTTATAAAAATACTAGCCAAAAGTAAATTATATTAATTATTTTTTAATTTTTAAATTATTTTTTATAAAAATGCTTTTGGTGGCAACTACTGTGGCCGCCAAAAATAAATTATATTAATTATTTTTAATTTTTAATTTATTTTTTATAAAAATATCTTTGGTGGCGACAATTTGTCGCCACCAAAAATAAATTATATTAATTATTTTTAAATTTTTAAATTATTTTTTATAAAAATACTTTTGGTGGTAACAAATTTCGCCGCCAAAAGTAAATTATATTAATTATTTTTAATTTTTAATTTATTTTTTATAAAAATATTTTTGGTGGCGACAATTTGCCGCCGCCAAAAGTAAATTATATTAATTATTTTTTAATTTTTAAATTATTTTTTATAAAAATGTTTTTGGTGGCACAAATGTCGTCGTCAAAAATAAATTATATTAATTATTTTTAATTTTTAATTTATTTTTTATAAAAATACTTTTGATAGCGACAAATCAACTTTTGGCGGTGATTTTTTTAGACACCACTAAAAGTTATCCCCAAAAATTATATTTTTTGAAGTGATAGTAGAGTTGCATGTGAGGAAAGTTAGATAGGGTAGGGCCCTTTCTCAATGCCAAAGATGAGCAAGATGCACTTATTGATATGCCTTGACATGTCCAAGTGGTGTCGTCGTCCCACCCATGATGATATAAAGAAAAGTCTTGTATCCCAAATTCTACATATTCTTAATGTGAGCTACACAGGAAATATATATAAAGAAATTGGGAATAAAAATTCACAAATATAATGACGTTGTTTTGTATATGACTATATATATGCATAAATATCTCTCACACACACATTAATTAACTGGTCTAGCATTAACTGTCAACCGGTACTTCCATGTTAGGGAGAGCTGAAAAAGCCTAATTCAATCTGCTGTCATTGTCACACTCTCTGTTTTTTTTTTTTAAAGGATAATAAAATTCTAAAATAAAAATTTATGACTGTTCAATTTGGATAAAATATTTTAAAAATAACTTATAAATATTGATTCTGATATATAGCTACAAGCAAGACTTGCAATTACAAACTGAGAATTATATTTAAAATTTAAATCTTTCATTTACAATTTAAAATTTAAAATTTATAATTATTTAAATCAATATTTGCATTAATTTTTTTTAAAAAAAATTGTTAGGGACCTAACTTTTACAAATTCTTTGTTTTAGGATTTCAGCGTTATACTCCTTTTTCAAAATCTCACTCACAGAAAATAATTATTGACGCACACGTGGTGCATGTTTAAGAGTATTTTAAGAATCTTAAAATTTTCGAATGGACGTGCTTCTGCGAGAATCAGAAAAAATAGATTTTTTTTCAAAGAAATAGGTAATTAAAAAAAAACCTTGAAGAAACGGGCACTTGAAGCTGACGTTAATATTAAAGTAATAAAAATATTTTGAATCTTAAAGAAGACAAAATCTACTTAATCATATTAAGATAAAATAATTTAGAGCGAATTCATTAAATAAATTTACATTATCTAGTAAATTCTTTCTCTCACATTAGAGCAAAATTTGGATTCAGATTTGTTAGATATTAATCGCTTACTAGTTACTTGTTTCTTTTTTTTTTTATATCTATAAAATTTAGTTTTCATTAATTACATTCTTTTCTTTTTTAATAAAAACAGGAAAATGCATTACTAAATCAAACGAGATTATAAATTAAGTGCAAACCATCACAGTTAAATGATCAAAGATATAAAACTTATCCTCTTATATATCTACCTGCCAGGCCACTCTAGCTAAAAGATTCGCAATTACATTACAATCTCTACGTCGATGACAAACCACAAAATACCACTCTATGATGTAACAATCTTGCATTTTCGATGATGTCGCGGTCACATTTCCCTAGCTAAGAAATTAACTGCTTCAATGCAGTCAGAGAAAATATCAACCTTCCTCAACCCATTTTCCAAGCATAGGCGAAGACCTTGAATAAATAATACCTGGGAGAATGACAAATAAGAGCCCTTGAAAAATATTAGAGATCTTTTACAATTAAAATATCAGGAATTTACAATTGAAACTTCAAGAATTTATAATTCAAAGGTTTTTATTTTATATCAATTTTCTTACAGGATCTTCAATTGTCATTCTCTTAATAATACCTAGCAATTTTGCAATTTTTAAATTTGCATCTTAAATACATGGTTGGATAATTATTAAAAGTACATTTAAATCATATTTAAAATGTGCTTTTATTAAATTCAACAAATAGTTAAATATTTAAATATACTTTTGTGGTATGTAAACTAAAATTCAAATCGACACTTAATCAATGGTTAAAAAAACAAATTTTTTATGATTGGTCCAATTTTCATTTATGAATGCCAGTAAAAAACACTCTATTTATGGAAAGTACGTACCATCAGTCCACTTACACACGACAGACTAACTTTATTCAAACATAACGATTATCTCTCTCTCTCTCTCAATCACAAACACACATGCAGACAGACACTGGCAGTGATAGCCTGGTAGATCCCAAATCCAGATAGCCTGGTAGATCCCAAATCCAGAATTAAAGTACATGATATGGATTATATAATCTGCTTTCAAATTAATCTGATGAAACTCCTTCTTAATATTCGACCCTGATTAATTAACTCATACACTCTTCTTGTACTCTTCCATCTCCTTCACCCACAAGTCCCCAAACTCGCAGTCCTTATAATCCTCAAACCAAGGACCCCCAAGTGTGTAGTGAACAGCTTTAGGAAAACTGTTCTTCACATCACTTTCATCAACCTTATTATGACCAACCAGAAAGTTCCACACAAACGGAACACTCCCAATTTCATCATCCTCAAGCCACTGAAACCTGTGCAGATAAGACCCTGTTTGGGTATTTACGACCTGCGGACTCAAAACCTTGTTCTTAGGATGTCCACAGTTGTACAGAACCATGGACGACCAGTTCTTCCTCGGATACACCGTCTGGACAACGCCGTCCATCTTCGTCGCCTCCGTCGGAGTGTAATCATGGTGGACACACATGACAGCGTACTTGTGGTCGACGAGGTCAACGAGGTTTTTGATGTCGGAGAGGAAGAGGAAGTCACAGTCGATGAAGAGAGCCCAGCCATGGAAATTGGCTAAGTGTGGGGTTAAGAAGCGAGAGAAAGAGAACTCAGTGCTTTCGAGTTTGCCTCGTTCGCGCCAGTACAGACCTTGAGGTCTCAGATCGGAGAGCTTGAGGGGCGTGATGTGCACGGGAATGGAGGCGCGTTTAAGGATAGAGTAGCGACATACCTCGTAGGCTATGTCTTCGCGAGAGTCGTATCCTATGAAGATCTTGAAGGGTTCAGCTTCAGACTCAGCACTGTAAATGGTGGTCGTGGAGATGGTAGTGTCCTTCATTGACTCAGAACTTACCTGCAAATACAAGAGTGTCGAACTAAATCATCACTTCAAGAAAACAAAAAACCAAACCTATAGATCAGATTGAAATATACACGAGTATTCTCTGTCTCTTGTATCCGCCAAAAGGAGAAGGACGAATGGATATGAATGTTGATGTTAAATGGGAACTGAAGAAACAAGTTGAAGATATATATAATAGAGAGAGGAAGGAAATTAAAATGGCGTTATTATTTAACAGTACAGTGGTGAAATTAGGGTTCAAAATCTGACGAGTGTTGTAAGTCCACTTATTCTATAACCGACACCAACGGTTGAATTTAATCGGATAACTATAAAAAAATTTATCTAATAATGTTAAAAAATATCAATTTTTAATTTTTAATTTTTTTAAGAAAACCGTATATGTAAAGAGTTCTTTGATCATAAAAAATATTTTAAATTTTTTAAAAAATATATTTTTATAATTTTTAAATATTTATAAAATTTAATGAATATAATTCAGAAATTCATTGAGTAATTTTAAGTTATTCATCACATCCCAATCTGGCAAAATTGGGAGGATAATTGTGGTCCTCTAATTTCTGATTTCCTGCTGACAAGTGATAAGGTTGCTATATTATTTGGGTCCCCCAAAAGCGATGCTATGCTATTATTTTTAATCAAATCACACCATTAATAAAATAATTATTTATTTTTAAATTAATGTTATCTTTTTATATTTATTTTTATTTAATAAAATATTTTACTTTAAAATAAATATAAAATAATTTATTTATTAGGGTACTTTTAAAAATAATACATTAATTATACTTTGAAACATTAAATATTTATTACATTTTCAAACATTCAAACTTTTAAAAAATATCTTGTTTTTTTAAGAGAGATATTATGGAAACTTATTGAAGGGTGAGTGCTTATATATAAGCAATATGGTGTATTAATCTGACGAAATAAGATGTAAACCTAATTTAAATGATATTAAGAAGAATTGTTAGCGATTTTTAATTTTGATAATTAATTTTTTTCACTAAGAACATGTTAGCAACAGAAAATTTTATTTTTTATCTAATTAAAAAATAAATTTTAAATAATAAATTTATTTTACTTTTATATTAATATTTGTAACAAAATTATATAACTTAGTAATAAAAGAAATCATACCTAATTGTTATGTTAAAATTATATATACTTAATTTTTTAAAATATATTTAATTTCCCCCCAATTTTTAGATGCAAAAGTAAAACCTCTTTAATTTTGAAGCACGGGTGCTGGCGTTTAATAAGATTTCCCATTTCTAATTATTTTGCTTCTTCTCGAGATCTTTTGATTAAATTTTGATGACTTAGTGTAAAACAAATACAGAAAAAGATGAAATGAACTCGAGTGGAGGAACAAAACACGTCTTGGTGATAAGAGGGCCATGTTATGATGTTATTGCCTCCTGGGGATGGGGTCCATCGACGGTAGCCAAGGCTCGTGTTGAGGGGCATCTGCTCCCTAATTTGGGGAAAAAAAAATGACATGAATGGGATATAGTTTTTGTATTTTACAATTTAAACCCTCTCTTTCTTACAATTTACACCTTTATTTTAATATTTTAAACTTTAAACTCATTTCAATTTTAATTTTTAGCCTAAACTTAAAATTTAATTTTTAACTTGAAGTTTTATGAATATTAACACATAATTTTACCATAACTAAATATCAATATTATTTATTAATTCTTTAAAAAAAGGAAAAAAACTTAATTTGACTAAATTAGATTTTTGTCACCCTCATCTCGAATACTAGTAAAAAAAATAATAAAAATGAAAATTCAAAGCTTCAAAAGTAAACTTGTTGAATATTTTTTGTTAACTCATCATCCTTACAAATCTCTAACTGAAGGTTAAATTAAGAAAGAAAGAGAGAGAAAGAAGGAAAGAAAAATAGTAAATTTAAAAAAAATAAAAAAAATTTTCTTATCCCAAGATCTTGACTTTGCCATTACCTTCCAACCCAAGATTCTAGCTTTTCCTCCACTTATTTACTATATTCATTGGCCGTCATGACAATTATCAATTAGTAATTTAATATTGACATAAACAAAAAATTTCAATTTCTTATAGTTTAAATTTAAATTGTTTTAAAGTTTTTCCTATATTCGTAAACTGTTTTTTGAATTGGTCCCCATGGCTATACTATAATAAAAAAAATAAAATCCTACTAATAAAGGTTAATCAAACTTATAAAAATTGGACTCATAACTCATAAAAGTTATGGTATCAAATTCCATTGTCATTATAAAAATTTTATTGATGGACAATCCATAAGTACATTTTTAAGTATTCATTGAATTTGAAGATGTATTTTGACCTTGGTAAACTCCTAGAATCCAATTCACCAAAACTTTATTCTACCAAAAAGAATAAAATCCGTTATTTTTGTTTGCATAGACTAATTGTTGTTAGTCCAAGAGAAGGGCCTATCCTCTCCTTCCTTTTTCCTTCATCACTGTTAAATCAAAGCTTTCAACGATTCTAACAACTACAAAAAAAAAAAAACAATTGATTAGCAATGAAAAACTAGTGAAAATTCTATCACTAAATGAATTATCGACAGAATATTTTCATCAGTAAAACTATCATCACTAATTTGTTAGCAAAGAAATTTGCAATTCTATTGCTAATTAGGACGAAAATTTTTTGTTACTAAATAAGGATAAGGTATTTTGACTTGACAATGGAATACATTCAGTCGCAACTTTTTCAACAGACTTATTCCATCATTAATTTTTAGGTAGACCAAAATATTATTATCATGTCACCTGATAAACCAATGTCACCTCACAACTGCCTAACCACCATATCATTTGTTACTACTATGTCAAATATTTTCACCTTCAATTGTGCTTTGGCCAAGCTCAAACTCGCAACCTTACATTTCTTAGTGCCTTTGCATCCATCTTATTTCCAATTAAGCCAAACAGAATCTTCAGTTGTAATTGATAAATTAAATATATAATAATTAACCACACACACATATATTAATAAATATATTATTTAAATTTAAATTATTATTAAATATAATAATTAAATTTACTTATTGTTAACATTATATTTATTTATTAATATGGCAAAATTAATTTATATATAATAATTATTTCTACTATATTTTATTTTTTGAAAATTATTTTTGAAAATAAATTAATATTAAATTGAAAAATATTTGCTATCATTATATATTATACTATAATTTTTATTTATATAATATATAATTAAATTAATTTTTTAAATAAGAATGATTAAGTATACAATTTAAATCATTATTAATAATATACAAATAGTTTAAAATAATAAATTAGTTTAAATTATAATTTTTAAATTATTTATTTATAACATAATAATAAATTAATAAATAAATTGTATATAAACATATATTATAAATAATAAAATTAAAGTAAAAATAATTTGTGATGAATTAGTGATGAAATTATGACAGAAAGCTTTATGATAGAATTTTTCATTGCAAATTCTATCAATAAATTGAAATAAAACATCCTTAAAATTAGTGACAAAATTTTTCATCAATAAATTATTTTTCACAAATAACTAATGGAATAATGATAGAATTTTAGCGATAAATATTTATTCCGTTGCTTAGTTCTATCTCTAATTCACTATTTTTTATAGTAAACTTAATATTTGATAAAATTATTATTTTAATTTTACATAAAGTATATATAAATAAATTTCAACTATTAATATTTGATCTAAAAAATTTAAAACTATAATATTTTATTTATACATGACTTAGTGAAAATTCAATTAATGAACTCTATCTCGATGCAACTTAATCCTATAATTTTAACTTTATTTATACATGACTTAGTGAAAATTTGAACTCTGCCGAACGACTTGAAAAAGCTTTTGCAATATATTACTTTAGGCGTTAATAAGATTCACATTTGTAATAACAGATCCTTCTTGGATCATCTCCTTTTCTAATTTGAAAAAAAAAAGTTATTTCTTGAACATTAATTAGGCACCTATGTTGATTAAAGTTGTACGGGCTAAATTGTATTCAATATAAGTTCAAAGATTAAGGTGTTAATGAGTCAAAACATGAGTGAATTTTCAGAAAGCTCTTCTTTATATTGAGTTACATCTAGTTAAAAAAATAATTTTTAATTGATTTAAAGCCATAGTAATTAAAAGATTAATTTTTCCTGAGAAATTAATAGCCACATGAAAATTTCTCTAGATCAATTAAAAAGAGATTAATTTTTAATTAATTAAAGAAATTTTTAATTGTTCGAAGCTGGTGAGAGCCGAAAGGAGGAGGAGCAGGGAGTGTGTTGCATTTTTGAAATAAATAATTGCATTATTTATTTGAAAGGTGTCTTTATAAATAAATGAATAATTACATTATTTGGTCCCTGTTTATAAAATTATAACCCCGCACAAATGCACGTTTGACACATTCGTTGAGTGCAAATGGGAAAAAAATCAGCAATGATGACCCACTAGTTGAGTGAAAAGATAATCCTCTAATTTTTTTTTAAGAGTTAATGTATAATTTGAATCCTAAATTATAAGTTTATGAATGATTTAAATTTTAAATTTTTAAAAAGTACAATTTAAAACCTACATTTATATAAATTCATACATTAAGCTCTAATTTGATAAACGTTTCTCCAAACTTAACGATAGGAGCGAAATTATCTAAATTTTAATTATTTAAACTTTAAAATATATCTTTTAAAAGTTTAAGATTTAAATAATTTCTGAATTTAGAATGAAAAAATTGATCTTTTAGTCCTTCAACTTTTAATTTACTTATAACTCAGTCCCTCAATTATGATTCATTATGATTCAATCTCTCAACTATGACTCGCCTATGACTCAGTCCTTCAACTTTTAAATCACTTACAAATTAATCTTTAAACTTTTGTTAATTTTTTTTATGTTAGCTTATATCTCATATCAATGAACAAAAGGAGGGTATTTTAGAATAATAAATGAGCATTTTTTTATCCCTCTTATTTGATGAAAAATAAAAAATAAGGATCAAATTATAGGTGAATCAAAGTTGAGGGATTGAGTCGCAGCAAGTTATAATTGAGAGACTAAATTACAAGTGAATTAAAAATTGAAGGATTAAAAAATTAATTTTTTTATTTATAATTTAAAATTTAAATTACATATTAAATTTTTTTAAATTATTGTGAGAGAAAAGAGATCTCTTTTGATTATATCATCATCATCAT